GGGAGCCTGGGGGTTTGCACAGGGGGTTGCTGGGCCCCAGCAGCACATGGACAAAGATGTTGTCATCCATTTGGCAGCACTTGCCTGTACCTGGGGTAAATTGTTCGGAGGAGCTGGGGCGTGGGGCACAGGGAGGGTGGATGCAAAGAAAGGAGCCCCCAGGGAAGTGCCTGTTTGTATGCAGGGAAACCTGGACCTTCCCTGAGGGGCGATGCTGCAGCTGAGCTCTGGGAAACTGAGCCTGGAGGGGAGGATTTCCAGCTCGTGCCCTGTGGTGTAGAAATCCTGGTGTTTCCTGTCACTGGAAAATGCAAGAATTGCTCTGGAGCAGTGGCTGTCCCCGATGGCAGGGCAGGATCTGCCTGGGGAGCGAGGCTGGTGCAGGCTCTGACCCTGTGCCTTGAAGGACCAGTTCTGCATTTCCTAATTTTGCTACAAAAACTCATCCAATGATGGCCTGCAGAGCTCGTGGGTGGGTTTTGATTCCCCTGGTGCACAGGACCGAGTCTCCCAGTGAGGTAAGTGTGGATGGTGCGAAGGATTTCCACTAACCCCTCATTTTCTCCTTACATTTGGTCTGTTAAGGACTCGTGATTCTTGTCCAGCCCATGCAGACAGGCAGAAGACCGAGCCCAAAGCTGAGTCCTGTGTGTGTTCCTCTGCCTGCTCTGTCCCCATTTTAAGCAAGAACCGAGTTCATCCTGGCCGATGTCCCTTTGTCCACTGCGGCTGTGAGAGCTGCATTTCCTGGCAGGATTTTAAAGCCATGGACAGGTAAATGCTGGAAAGGTCTCCAGAGGAGATGGTTTTGTGTCTGGAGCCCTCGAGTCGGCTGGTTGGGGCCCCAGGGGAATGGAGCAATGGCTGGAGCAGCAGCTTGGCCAACCTTGGGCACACGTCACTGCCGTCTCCGCTGTCCCCACCTGCTCCTAAGCTGTGCTGCTCGTTCCTCCTGCGAGTCTGGGCTGTGTTTTCCTGCCCTGTGCCTACCCTTCCTCTCTACGTTTCTCCAGTGCTTTTCCTGGAAGGGTTTGTCCTCCTTCAGGCAGGCGGTGTCACCGAGAGGCTGTGACACGCAGATTTGCTTCCACTTCTCCTGGGCACGTTGAATCCCCGGGGCAAGGCTGTTTCTGGAGGCTTTGGGTCTGATCACTGCTCAGTGCAGGAGCTCGTTCCCTGCCCCAGAACACAGTTTCCTAACCTGCTTCAAAACTCCTGCTGCAAGATCATTGCAATCCCTGGAAATATTTGAAAACTTGACATTTAAAACCATGATCCCACAGTCGATCTCCGCTGTCAGTCCTGTGTTAGCATCTCTCCCGCTTTTGAGAGTGAGTTGATTATTGGGTCATGGGTTTCCTTGCCCACAGCTGCATGTGGAATGGATCCATGGGTTTCTGAATCTGCTGAAGGTTGTGTTTGCTGTCTTGGCTGTTGCTGTAGTGGTTTGAGCATTGGTGTTGAGTGCTCTGCTGAGTGATCTGACAGAAGGAGTTGGTTGCCCAAGTGGAGATCTTACAAACACGAGAGCCCTTTACCCGACCGCACACATGTAAACACGCTCTTTTCGTGCAGGTACTTCCTTTTGGGAGCCTGACTCAGCACCTTTCTTTACCTGAAGACATTGTTTGACTTGTACTGGGCTTGGTTTTGCCAGGAGCCTCTCCAGAGACTCCCACTGCGCTGCAAAAGCGCTGCTCTTTGGTTCAGTGACTTCAGTAGGATCCGACGGACAGCACAGCCCAAGGCACCCCAGTGCCTGCAGGTCCTGGGGTTTGGGTTGAGGGTGATCAGTAACTGCTGGGAATGGATGTGTGAGGCTTTGAGCATTAAAGAAATTCATCTTCTCCATCCACACCCTGAACTGCCAACTGATTTATTTCAATGCAGTGTAGAAAGCGGGTGGACTGACCCTAATTCTTTACAGCCTGGACCTTAGCAGTAACAGAGGAGCTGCAGCTTCTCCTCAAAGTAAGCGGTGATGTTAAATACCCCGTACCTCTGTTTCCCTTGTTGGGGTTTTGCTGTTTCATTGCTCTTTCCACAGCAGTCCGGGCTATTTCCCAAGTGCTCTGAGCTGCAATATTCATTAACAAAAGCTAAGCCAAGAGCTGCTGTTAGAAAAAAAGACCAGGGGAAACTTTTACCTTATGGAAACCCCTCTGCAGAGCCTGTACGCCTTCAAGGTTTTGTTTTTAGAGGACATAAGAAGCGGCCCAGCAGTGAGGGAGCCATGGCCAGGCGGGTGGAGCTCTGGGCTGTGCCGGCAGCCGCGGCTCCGGCGGGGGGCAGCACCGAAACGGCTTCTCCCGGTGACCCGACACGGGCGTGGAGAGGCAAAGGGACCTTCACCGCCTGCCACCTCCAGCACGGCCCTCCCCGCTCTGCTGGGGGTCAAGGCAAGGATGTGTTTGTAGGGTTTGGTTCCCAACGTCCATAACGGTGCTCGGTGTTTCCCTGCCGTGGTCTCTGGTAACTCGGACTGCAGTGGGGATTCACGTTAAACCACTTCTGCAGCTGGTCGGACCAGAGCTGTCCTGCCCTGGCATGGTTTATTTCAGAGGAAACTGCTTTTTGGAAGCAAAAGGGTGTTTCTGGTTCAGCTCAGCACGGAGAAGGTCAGCGGCAGGTGGGTGTTTGCAGAGGACAAGGCCATCGGGAGAAACACCTTCTGTTCCGCTGGCCGCAAGGGCTGAAGTCCAGGGGTAGCGCTGGGATCGGGCGCCATTCACAAACACAGCCCTGGGCATTCACCCGTCGCAGGGTTCAGAGCTGCAGTTACAGCCCCGTTCCCCCAGGACTGTTTGCCTTTTCCCTTCACCTGCTTGAATGGTGAAATGAGGCTCCTTCACCTCAAAAATCTCCCCCAGCTTCCTCTGGGGTTCCTGTGCTGCCTTATCTCTGTCTTAACCCTGTCCTCTCTCAGCTGCCACCCAAGTCACCTCCTGCAAGTGACACCAACCACATCTAAGACCAGTCCCAGGCTGAACTGGGAAATCAGTGCTTCAGTCGTGCTCACCCCGACCGCTGCTGTGGCTTGCACAAGCTGTGACCCTGCAGAGGCTGAGGACAGGGATGGTCACAGAGTTTGATCTCTGCACTCAAAACAGGCAGTGCAATGCTGTGTAATGGCCACCTACTGATCCCACGGTGCTGCCAGATCCTGCAGTCGGACCAGGTTGGACTTTGGGGTTTCTGGTGTTGGTTACAGGGCTGAGGTGGTAATGGGGAAATAACGAAGCTACAGCAGCGGCTTGGGGTGGTGCCATGAACCATGTGGGTTTACAACCAGTCCCCATTTGCTGCCCTGGTGCCTGCCTGTGCTTGCTCCTTAGGATGCTGACCCCATTGCAAGTGCAGAGCCTGGATGTCTTCCCCAATCTCTGCCAACTCCAGGGAGCAGCAGCAGAGCTCTGACATAGCTGAGAACAGGATAAAGCTCATCACACCCCCAGAACACCTCAACCCTCGCAGCTCACCTGCCCCACACACCACGGCTCAGCTCAGACACTGGCAGGTACGCGCACACCCGGGCCGAGCACCTTTGAAGGCAGCAGTCTGGTATTTTTAGGGGAGAGCCTGTTGTTTTGTGAGCAGCAAACCACAGAAACAAAAGTGTGCAGGGTGAACTGCAAACTGAACGGGAGGGAGGGAGGGAGGACCCAGAGCAGAGCAGCTCAGAGGCAGCAGCCCCAACCCAGCTGGGTGGGTGCTGCTTTTTGACCCAAAGCCTACAAAAGTGGGAGGCTGAATGCAAACAGTGTCCTACTACTCAAAAAAAAATTAAATACACCCCAAGACGCCAGGTGCATTGCCAGGCTGGACTTTGCCCAAGCCGGTTTTTCAGCCGTTTGTGCCCACTCCCTCTGGTAGGAGGTGGAAACGTTTCAGAGTGGCAGGGACAGGACCCACAGCTGCTCTGGGGCAGCCCATAATGGACTGACAAGAGCCTGGGCTTTGTGCTGCTTTCCTCGTTAGCTTGTCATAAAGCAGACCTGGGGCAAGGGTGGCTTCCTCAGCGCGGTCACGCGCTGCTACGTGGAGAGCGGAGCCTGGAGCAATGAGCCTTGGTCATCCCCGGTGTTTAACTGGGCATGGAGTTTGTCCTGAGCGAGACACACAGCTCCAGCTGCCTCTCCTCAGCTGGGGAAATGACCTTGGTCCAGAGCAGGGAGCCCAAGGGGCATTTACAGGGTGCATGACCCTCCCCGTCCTTGCCCAGCACCCTCATTCACAGGCGCTGCCCCCTCCCAGCTCCCATCGCAGCCTGCACAGGCAGCCCAGATCCCTTTGGTGGGAGAAATCACACGCTCCACATGGAAATATGCCACTTTCTTGGGTTTTTTTAATGTTGCACTGCAGTTTAAACAAAGACACGAACATGCAGAGTGATGCCACTTGTCAGTGGGAGCTCAGAAGAGGATGCAGCGATGCCCAGCAGCAGTCAGGAGGGAGAGAGGCTCTTGGGGGAGAGGCAGGAGACGCACTCCTATCAAGAACAGCACCCCCAAAAACTCCCCATCCTCTCCCTTGCCCACAGCCACAGACTCTCCAGCCTTGCCATAGGACAGCAGGATAAGCTCTGTGATGGGAGCTTCCCTTGAGCCCTGCAGGGCTCAGGCTGTTCCACTTCTGGCAAGAACAGAAGCAGCAGTAAGGAGGAACAGGCTGTCTCTACTGCAACAGCTGGGGCTTTTTAGGCTGGTGTTTTCCCTTCCCAAGGAGGCAGAAGGAGAATTATTTTACAAAATAAACTGGCCCTCGTTTTCACAGGAAAGCCAAGGAGTGTGGAGTCAAAACTCAGGAGTACCTGCTGCCAAACAGAAGTGGCAAAGAGTGGCTCAGCAGCTCTGAAGAGCCAGGAGATGAAGCTAAGCGATACATCGAGGATATGTCCCAAAACATCCTCAAGCCTGGCTCTTGTAGCCCTAACGCCCTATTTGCTCTGACCCCTCCTTCTCTCCTAACTGCCCTTCAGGAAGTGGAGCTGCTGCAGGCCCGGTTCTGTGGCCTCGCACTCTGCTCGACGCAGCAAAACTGAGGACAACGTCATGAAGCTGCCAGGGCAGCAAGCTCGGGTGGGGATGCTGAAGTGTTTGTACTTGCCCAAGGTAAGGGATATCCGGCAAAACGTTACTGCCTCATTCAATGGGATGACTTAAACAGGGGGGAGAAGGGGAGGACTCAGTTGAATTTAGCCTTTGAAAAGTCCATTTCTGGATGCTGTTCCATGAACCTGCAAGGAAAGCAAAGATGAGAGCTTGGGTATGAGGCATCAGGAGTCACAGAACAGCTCAGGTTAGGGAGGGAGGGGTAAGGCACCCCCGTTTCCTACACTGTTAAGTTTGCTTCCTCCCCACGCCCTCCACAGCAGGGACTGTTTTGCAGAGCTCCTTGGGACACACTCCCCACTCTACAAACGCTTTTTCCTCGGGTCAGTGGTATCAGCAATCCTACCACCAGGGTCAGCAAGTCCAGACACATGGGAGTTATTAATTATCAGACACACGCCCTTTCACTGTTACCTCTCGGCCAGACACGTAGCAGCTACAGCACTGATTGTGGGGCAGAGGGGAGATTGCGAGAGCAGATTATGATTTAAGCTTAAAAACACGTTACCTTGAGCACTACTGGGCACGTGGGGAGTATTTCCAGTGCTGTGACAGGGAAAACTCATGAAGGACATGACCAGAGAAGTCAGGATTTGGGCTGGGTGGAACCTGATTTCAAAGGTACTGCAATGCCAGCAGATAGGACTGTGTGGACTCGGGTTGCCACATCAGAACGTTCTGAGAACACCGCACTGCCTGCGAGTGACCAGGAGCGATCGGTGTGCACAGAAGCTCCCTGCTTCTCCTCTGCCCTGCAGTTCATCGCGGGGTACAACATAAATCCACGTGGAGGATTCGTGCACAACGTGTGAGGAAGGGCAGGCCTCTGTCTTCTCGTGATTTCCCCTGAAACGCCACCACAGCGTTTCCACTTCCCATTTCCAAGGAAATACGTGTTGCAAGAACAGCGTCCTTGTTTAGCAGCCAGGAGAGCTTCACTGGCAGAGGTTAGGACCCACCTGGGTGTCACTGAGTCTCCTTTGGCCTGAACAAAGTCTAAACTTCCAGTCCATGCTTTACCAGCCAATCTGTGCATGAGTCAAACTTCCAGAGCACTGAACGAGTGACCTTGCTGATGAGATACCTGTACATGGGCTCCCCAGGAGGAGAGGGCTACCTCCCATTCTCCTAACTCAACAGATGGGTGCTAAGGAAGCCTGCTCTCTGCTCTAAAACAGTTGCAACCCTACGCTGTACTCGGCACGCTGATAAGAGTGGAGCTTCTGCTACTCAGATAAGCCAAGGAAGAAAAGGAGTCAGGCTCGCTGCACTAAATCCTCCTCCCAGTGCTGATAAGATGTGGGTTTGCACTTGCTGAAGAAGCTGCATGACCCAGAATTGCCTCCACACCTTCCCACACGGCCTTGGGAGCTCCAGGAGCGATTTTCCTGCCAGGGTGCGTTTATGCCAAACAGGGCAATAAAGACATAAAGGTGGTGTTGGCTTGGAGACAGCTGTCTGGTGGCAGGTGTGCAGGGAGGGGCGATTATCTGGGCTACCGAGGGAGATTAGAAAACAATCAAGACCGTGTTAAAGTTCAGTAGAGATGGCACCTCCAGTCCCAAACATGCTTTCTGGACTTGAAATCAGCAGATTAAGACAATTCCAGAGCTAGGCTGTATCTAGAATTTCCCATTAGGCTTTTTACCCCCACTGGCTTTTATAGACACTGGTGGTTGGCCAACAATTCAATTTAACTGCAGGTGTGAACACGGGTAGGACTGAAGGCCACCCTGTTTTGTGCTCACGTATTTGTGTGAAGGAGGAACAGGAGAGGGGCTTGGGAAAGCAAATCCCCACACGTGACTGAGCTCTACGTACTTTTTCAAAATGTCTTGCTTCTTCTGTTCATCAGAGGTGGGGAGGCCCATGGATTTCTGTCGCTGATCGTACATCATTTTCTCCACCATGCTGCGAGTCTCGCTGTCCAGGTCTGACAACTAAAAGCAAGGACTTCTATCAGAACTGGAATAATTTATCTCAACCACATTCTCAATGCAGAGAACGTGAATACACTGAGGTTACGTTACACTGTGTGCACAGGCTGCAGAAATATTTATATCTATAGACTCAGCTTCAATCATTTGAAGTTTTGGGGGCACTTATTGTGCTATGATAGCATCCTATGCAGCACTACTCCCAGTATTGCTTTTACACTGGTACAAATAAGCCACAGAAGTCGAATGTGAGCGCATTTAAGGCTCAATGGAGCCTTAAGAGAAGGCTCCATTCAGTAAAAACAGAGGAGTTCTTACCTTTGAGTTCTCTGGATTAATTTTCTTGGTGTTGATTTCTGGGTCTGTGGAGACAAGTTTGTTCCACCACTCCATCTTGTTGATCTGAAGGAACAAAGAGGCAAAAAAATATTTCCTTTTTCCTGGGTTTGCTCTAGGAATTTTATGTCTCAGCCACAGGAAAAAGCTGCTGGAATCAAACTCTGACTTCTAAATGTCAGTAAAATCTGCACATGGATAAAGGGTTCTGCTTTCATTCCAAACCACTTTAGTTAGCCTGAACTTCCACAACTGGGAAATCCAAGAGTATGTCAGATGCCACATTTGGCATGACATAAATGGAAATACAACACATCACCAGGAGGGGCCCAGAAGGGACACAGTAAGGGACCTGAGAAGCAACAAGCTCTGTCCTTGGATTTTTGTGTCACTAACAGATGTCAAAACACGACATTATTCCATTAAGGAACCACTTTAAAATGACTGATTTTCTTCCAGGTTTTCCTGAACTGCTGAGCAATTGATCTGGTAACCTGAATTAACATGAAGTTAGGCTGAAAATGGGCAAATTGCAATACCCTGCTTCCAACAGCATCACCAAGGATAAGCACTGGTGGTTCTGCTTTAGCTGACAAAGCCCAGGGCTTTCATAGCTTTCCTCAGACTCTTAAGAGGCAGACAAGCCTGAATCCTCCCTGGTCTGTTCTGCTTTACCTTCTCCAGGTGCACGGTGACTGTTTTACCATCTTCAATCAGCCAGGAGCTCTCCTCCACCTTCACTTCATTGAAAAGCTCTCCGTCGATGACAGGCGGATGGCCCTTCAGGCCAACTCGGAGGCGCCGTCTCTGGATATCCACCACCACGTCCTTCCCCTTCAACCTGAAGTTCACCTTGAAAAGGACGGCCAGCTGGACCAGACAAAGGTCAGACGTGAGGAGCTGAGCAGTGAAGCCTCTCCTTACCCTCTTGTGTTTTAAGGCTTTTTCTGCCTTGGTTTCACCAGGATAAGACAGAGCACACAATATTTTCCTTGGGGTACTGAGTGAGCGGGAGGTAAAAGGATACAAGAGTAAGTTTGACAACAAGGATGGCCAGTACCTCAAAGGGACCATAAAAAGGAAATTAGATTTGAATGTCTTGTTTAAACAAGAGCAAGGTTTGGCCAAGTTAACTACAGCTTCAGGGAATTTTATTTAGTTACCAGGCACTCTCCCAGCTACTGAAATGCTGCCGTTAAGGACAATTAACAACCTTCCACAGGCAACTGAGATACAGGGCATCAGCTCCACCATTCTTATTGGCACTCGATCTTATTCCCTATCTCAGATTCCTCAGATTCTGGTAAGAAGGCAATACTTACATCCAGCTCTGAAAGAGTCTGTGTCCATCTGTAATTTGGAAGGTCAGCTCCATTACCAGAGTTGGGTTTAATTTTTCCTTTATCCTTCTCATCTTCCTCTTCATCATCTGTTTCCTAAGCAAGCAATTCAACGCGTAAAGAAAGAAGCTTTTCAGGTTTCCATTTATCTTTCACTTGTAGCAACAATTGCTGGTTTTTATAAGAATGTCAAGTCAGGTGATTTGATGTTCACACAAATTTAGCCCAAAACAAACAGCTGCAATTATGTTTTAACAGAAACAAGAAAAAAAGCCAAAAAAACCCCACATATTGCCTTTGGGAATTAAGTGTGTATTCTTATAGAAAGCCAGACTGGACACCCCCCTTACATTCACAGGAGTTCTCATGGTTCCCCAGAAACTTATTTCTCTCAAGGTAAAATCAAGTCCCTAGACGAGCTTTACCTGTTTGTTAGAATCCGTAGATTCCCCTTCATCCTCCGAGGGTTTCATCGGGACATTGTTAATCTGTCCTTGTACCTCTTTCTTCTGTTTAAAGAGAGAACAAAATCCCTCAGGCAAGTGTTGGCACTTGGTGCTGCTTGCTGATCTGACACTAGGTGGCCTCAGCCTCTTCAGCCAGAAACTGAAGACGACTCAGAACTACACCCAAGACTTTTTGGGGAATTTTCAGCCCTTAGAACAGCGTTACAGGAGTAATCAGGTACTGTCAAGGGGAAGACTCCCTTGGTCCTCACACCACGATGACTGTAGCAAAGGGTGTTGCTACAACGGGAGAGGTTGCTGAAGGCAGAAAGGTAAAGCGAGGTATGGGAGAATCCACGTGAAAATGCAATGGTTGGGCCTGGGCTAATTTAATTTTGAAGCACACCAGTTTGGTGGTCCAGACACTGCAGAGGAGACAACCTAGATGGTACCTGCAGCCACCAGACATCGCTCTCACCTGGTTGATTTCCAGCTGCAGCCTTTCTGCTTCCTCATCTGTCAGTTCCTTAATCCTCGGCTCGTTGGCTTCTTGCTTTTCTTTAGCAAGTTTCGCGGCTCTCTCTGCCTTTTCACGCCGCTCTGCCTCTTGCCGAGCCTTCTTCTCCTTCCGCTCCTTCTGAGCTAGTTTGTTGTGATGGTTGAAGGTATCTGTGATCAGCTGAAAGACAGGAACACATGTCAAAGGTTCTTAAAAATCACTTTTTCAAACCCAAATGAAGCCAATTCACTGTCCCCTGAGGAGCACGAGAAGGTCTGTTAGTCTTACAGATGCTGTGACTTTCTTTTCCCTTCATTTCCACTCCAGTCTCTTGATCAAAAATTTAGAGTAGGTCAAAACTCAAAAATACTTAAATGTAGCTCTTCCTGATACAAGGAGTCTATTGCCATGGAAATAACAGGAAAAATAAAGATTCTCTATTTGTTTTGGTCTTTGTGCAAATCCAGCAGGATGAGCAGATGCCTTACCATGCTGTTTGACAGCTACTCCGTACATCTAGGGCAGCTGGGAGAAAAGAAACACTGAGCCCAAGTTTTTGGACCTACTTCTGCCCGTTCCCATGAATGGACTTTTCCCCAGGCACTGGGTGGAGAGTCAGTGTCACGACTTAAAGGAGAAATGTTTGAAAAGCTCGGTGTTTTACACTTAGGGGGAAGCTCCTACATAGATCTTTCCTTCAACCCTCGCTCTAAATGCTGTTGTGACTACAAAAAAGCCAGCACTCAAGGTCTCTGATGCAAACGGCCGGAGCGCTCAGAGGGAAAGCTGAGTACACAGGCAGGAAGCCAGAGCGATTACCCCGCGGTCGATAACGCCAGCGGCGCTGTGCAAAGCAGCACGTATGAGAACCGAGGTCTGCTCCGGAAAACACCACAGACAGGACCTGAGGAAAGGAATCAGTGTGGAGAGATTGCAGGTATCAGTTTATAGATATCCCAGAAACTTTGTGGGGGATTCAGCACCTTTCCAGAGCAACTCAAAGCAATCCACGCCTCATAGCTTTGGAACCAAGCACCGAGTATTTCTGCTTTGTTTTAAAAAGTAAAGCAAGATTTATTTACACAACGCGAGTCCGGTGTCTCCTAGGATACAGAATTGAAGACATGCATCTCCCAGCCCCTGTTCCTGACTGTGCGATGATCCACGGTGAGCAAACGACTTACGTTGTCCAAGCTTGTCAGTGTGCACACACTGCAATTCTCTCACTGTCCCACCACACCCCCCTCACTCCACACAAGGGCTTCTCAAATGCCACCCCATAAAAGATGATGACTTTTCCACCCTCTCCTCTTTGATGCCAAAGGGTGAGCAGGACTGGGGAAGAAGCTTCTTCGGTTTTTGTTGTGGTTACTGTGGTGTGAGAGATTCCACATTGAGCACCTTTTCTGAAGACCATAAAGCATTTTAACAGAAAGCACCTAAGGAGGTGAACGCTTTTCTTTTACAGACACAGAATTGCCAACAAGGGTAGCCAGGACCTCCAACAGCACCAGCCAGTGCTCAGCTCTGAAATGCTACTCAGGGTTTCACTCCCAGGGAGCACAGAACCCCTAGAAATTTGGGGACATTTGCTCTCCAGCCTAAGAAAAACAGCAGTAGGCTTCATCTTTCTTACCTTGAAACCATCCACTTTCCCATCCCTTCCCTTAGTTTTGCCACTTTAGAGACTCGACAGTGTATGTTACACGCTGTGTTAGCAATTAACATCTGCCCTAACCCATCACACACAGCAGCAGTGCCTGCTTTGCTGGTGGAGTCCCAGTAGCCCAGGAAGGGGAATAACTGCTGCACTGGTAAATACAAGCAAGAAATCTTCAGTCTGGCCAGTTTGTGTCTGAATGCTCTGGTTC